GCAGCTCCAGTGGTTACCAGAGCCCAGAAAAAGGAGGTTGATTTATCAAATGATTTGACTGCACAGTTAAGAGATGCTCTAAAACTTGATGATTGGTTCCTTGCTCACTCAAATAACTGGACAGTTAGAGATGGATTGGCATGGGTGGGGGCCAAATTATATGTGCCAGCGAAGCTGAGAAACCAAATATTACAGCAAGCTCATGACTCTAAAGCTGCTGGTCATTTTGGATTCATGAAAACCTTACACTTAGTTAAAAGGCAATTTTGGTGGCCTACCTTGAAAAAGGACATTGAGACTTATGTAGCTAGTTGTCCTATTTGTGCCTCAGCCAAACGGCCTCCTGGTAAACCAGCAGGCTTACTACAAAATGTGGCTAGACCAACGGCTCCATGGAAGGAAATCTCTATGGATTTTATAGTGGAATTACCTGAAAGTGGGGGGGAATACAGTTATTTGGGTAGTAACCCATTTGTTTTCCAAACAGGTACATTTCATACCTTGTCCGAAAATCCCATCTGTGAAAATGTTGGCTAAACTGTTTATTTTACATATGATGATATACACAACTTTTAATTGGATGAGCCAATTGAACTATTGGGGGTGGGAACGTTGCCATTACTTTGTATATGTGATTTACGCGCCCATTTTCTCAGATTCAGAATTCTTTTGTTGCTACCACTTGATTTCCAGTAAAAGATATATTTTCTCTGATTAAAAGAGTCTAAGTATTTCTTTCTTGGATTTTGAATGGAGCACCAGCTGACAAAGCCCTTTACCTGCGTAAATGGCTCCAGCCTCTTAACATATTATTTGCACCTCAGGAAATCACAAGGGGGGGAAAAACCGATATTAAGGCCTACCTGATGTAACCGATAGCCACACATAGCCTACGGAATAAATTCCAGGTGCTCCTTCTATCAACTCGTACAATTTCGAATCTTCTCTTCTTAATTGTTTGATACGAAGAGTACAATTTTGGTAAATGAACTCCCGCCCTGTATACTGTGGTCCTTGTGAGGTCCCGTATATTGGGCGCCGGTACCTAGTTCCAATTTCCTGCATTGTACTTGGAGATATGCCCCTGGACCACTTGCAGTAGACAATCTCATCCCTGGGGAGTGGGGGCACCAAGAGTCCCTGAGTTGTTATCATGGGTTCTTGAGGAGCGGCCATAATATTGATTGAGTCTCCCGCTCCTGCAAGATGGAAGATGGCGGCTGTAGTAGAGGAGGAAAGAGAGAGAGAGGGAGGGAGGGGAAACAAAAATGATTCTGAGCCAAATAAATTTTTTAAGCAAGAAGCCCATTGAATTAAATTGTTCTTTGCAGAAACAAACCTTTCTGGCAAATGTTGTTGCATGTTGATTTGAGTGTACAATATTAAGAGGGCAACCTTCTTGATAAACAATTGATGAGACCTTGGAGTATGTTAAATTATTGGAGTTTATTTATTTATTTATTTATTTGATTTGCCAATTGTTTACAAGATA